TAAAAAAGATTTTTTGGGGGGGGTGGGGGGGGGGGGGGGGGGGGGCTCATTGCCTTACTTGCCGTTGAACACGTTTGGTGGTTGGCCACGCGTCTCTTTCGAGGCGCCAAGAACTGTTCGGTAGCACGACGGAGAAAAGCCCCATCATCATCCGGTAACGTTGTGGAAGTGCGGTGGAATATAGTGTCACTGCCCAGTACGGCGGTGTCAGTGAAATCTTGTGACACGGGTGGAAGATTCAAGTTTTCGTCGTTCTCTGGTCAGAGCCGGGTGTCCGGATAGGGTTATAGGGTTAGGGTATGTCTAAAACCCTGGGCACATATCGGCACTACTTTCGGACGACCACAAGTGCCAGTGCAACCTGGTCATGTTGCCAACGACGAAGGCTATTATTGCGACCCGATCCCCCCCTTAGATCGTAGCCTACGTCCACCCCCCTGGAGTGTCGATCGTCCCGCTATCGTCTCGCCGCTCATGGGGAGCCACGGCTCTCTTGCGTCCTGTGCATGCCATCCCTTCCTTCTGCTACAGGACACCCTTTTTTTCCCCTTGGTCCCCTCGCACACGCCTCATTCTATTGCCAAGGCTTCGACGACTCTGCTCTCCCTGACCGGTGGGTGTGCGTGCCTTACCCCTCCCGCCCACCCACTGGCAGAACTACGGGTTGCTCAGACCTACAGCTCTGATTGTAGGTACAAGACAGGAGGATATGGTTGCGACAAGATGTCAACGACACATCTGTACTATTATACATGATGCGAGACAGGCAAAGGGATGTGCAGAACACGACCAATAAAACACAAAATAGAGAGAAAACATTCACAGACAACAGGCCGGCTCGGCTGTGTACCAAAACAACCGCCTTCAGGTCCGCGCCTCGCAACACCAAACCAGAAACCAAGCCACGCACGGGCGTCGTGCGTTGCGTGCATGCCTCCTCTCTTCTTGCCATCTACTTTGGCTCTCCTAGCCTCTTGTGCTCTGTCGCTCACCTGCAGGGCCCGCGGCTGAGTAGCACCCGATCGGCGTAGTTGCGCTTGGTTGCCGCCAAAGGGTCGAACGCTAGGCGGCGAAGCGGATCCACAACACTGCACATTGGTTGACGAGTTAAGGACACCGCCGTGTGGGAGTTCGTTGCTCGTAGGCATACGTGCCATAATTGTCTAGGGGGTATCGCTAATACACTATTTACTATGTTTGTGGTCACAGGTAGAGGCCATAAGAACATAAAACCAGCCCCCATGTCGGGCCGCCACGCTCGCCGCTCCGCTCACGGGCGGAATGACTTTGCAACCACCACCACATTTGATTGCATCCCGTCCAAGGTCCGCATTTTTGTGTTCCGGGAAAACAAACCAAAAGGCGGTTCCAACGGACGCCTCAAGTCGGACAACCGAGTCAACCGCTCAAACGACTCTGCCGGCACAGGTTCTCCGTACCCCCCCGTTGGTGGGTGGGCTGGACCAACATGCGATAAAAGCGACGAGAAGAGAGGACGATAACTTCAACCAACCCCAAAGACGCCGTCATAGGGCAGAGCTAGGCATGTTGTACCATGTTACCACACCTGACGCTGAAGACGACGGCTGCGAACAAGAGGAAGAGGTTGTTTCCGAGCCACCTTCTCTCGTAGACCCCTCCGTAGTCTCCCTCGAGCTTCTGCCCGACTGGCGGTGCGGCGAGCGTGTCGAGAACAAGGGCCGTGCGCAAGGGGGAAGGGGGCGACGGCGTTTCCACGGGCGGGGGGGGGGGGGGGTTGAGCACGGAGGGGTGGAAGGTCGTAGGCGTTTTCGCAAGCCGCGACGTCAGAGCACTCGCGCGTGAAGAAGCACCGACCGCGGGGTGTTGGCGTTCATCCTAGGGAGCGAGCGCACAGCCTAATCGGGCATTCTTGGCCCACCTGAATTATTCCCCGACAGCTGCTGAAGCATTTCAGACGCGACCTGAGAGCAGCGTTGTGTTCACGGCTACGTCTCGCGAGCGAGGCATCACGACACAACAAATACTAAACACGGGGCATACACAAGTCTGATCACGCGGGGGGGGGGGGGGGGTAGCCCGAGAAGCAACGACGTGGTACGTGGAAAAATCACCGTCATCGTGGACTGGACTGGGTCGTGCACGTCCGTGGGGCCTCACCTGCGAGCAGAATGACGGCAGCGGTGACGATGGCGAGCTCCTTGCTGATGCTGAAGAGATCGTCAACGTTCCTGATGAACGGGTAAATGCATGCTTGAACGACCGCGAACGCGATCGACACCCATATCAGGATATCCGTCTGCTTCGGAATTATCTCCCTGGGTGTGTGCAGGAGAGAGGGTGGCAGAAAACACCGAGGCCAAAAACAAAAGAGCGGCATCAACAGCAGCAGCAGATCGTTGATAGGAGAAACAATTCCATGCATGGTGCGCCCCCAACACCAATAAACAGACGCACGGTGATGGACGACACCCGCATAGCCCCGACCGAGATTCCGTCCTCCTGGGAGAATACCGCGCAGACTCACGCATCACCCACGGAGGAACAAACAGCGAGACGACGACTAAGAGGACAACCCTGGATCTTTACTTGGGTCGCGAAAAGCCCCGACGACTGCAACAGACAATCAATAGTTGCCGTGTATCTAGAAGGCTGAAACCGTCAAGGCACCAACCATGGGGCATGTTGCCGTAATCACGCGGCGTCAAGCGACCGGACAAGACCGTAGAGGTGTTCGCGGTGCCCATTTACGCAACAGGCTTAGGCTTGTACAAGTAAAAAATGAACCTACCGTTATGTGCAACCTCTTGGAGCTGCGTAGGGTACGGAGTGAGAACCCCACTCACGGTACGTGCGCAACAATCATCTGCGGCAGCATGACGGGCTTGATATTTTCTCGTCTCGTCTCTGAGCTACTATACTCCGTACATGTCATACAATGTCTCACCAAACCTCCAAGGTGTACTCGTGGTAGAGGGGGATTGCCAGCATTCCACAGCTTGCGACCATCAGCACCGCCACGTAATTGCGTTCCTGTCGTCCGAGAGGACAGAATACATGGGGCGCATTATGAGACACAAAATAACAAGGAGACCAAAAAATATGAGGGGGGGGGGCGTGACGCGAGCAGGAAATAGAAGCGGTGCACGTGAGGTGAAGACGTGGTGAAAGGGGGGGTATTATCCTGTTGCGGGCATCTGTTGCCCGCGCCCAATGAGTTATCGGAACGTGGTTGGGCCATGGCCTTTTCGCGCGCTAAAATTTCCTGCGCAATCGCAAACTCAGCTGTGCAAAAACACACAACAATACAAACACGCTTGTTTTCTCTGCAGACGGAAAGGGAAGAGCAAGAAAAACACGCACGCACACACACACGCTGGCGTGCTCCCAGCTCCTTCCTCACACGAAAACCAAACCAATAGACGAAAGCAGCACTCAATCCATCCACCAATTGGACTGTAACGTACCGGGATGAGCCACGGCAGGGCACGCTTCGCCTTCGGGTGGAAAACCACGGCCAGGCGAAGCGCGCGGCAGATGTAGCTCCCGAACAGCGCGGGCGAGACGAAGAAGAGCAACAGAGACACCCAGAACCAGTCGAGCCCGCTGTCCCAGACGATGTTGATGGCACCGTTCACGGCGGCCAACATCGACAGGATCACGGCCACACCCCCGACCCTGACCAGATGCGCAGACCTGGGCAGAGGAACATGTGGTAGCATGGGCGATACGGATGTCTCAACAGATAGTGAGAATAAGAACGGACAGGGAGGTGCCTTTGCATTGTCAGTGTTGGCTTGTTTTTTACTCGGTTGTTCGTCGTCGTTAGGGAGGTCGGGGTTCCTTGCCGCGCATCGTCGGGGTGACGATGTGCGTGCCCGATGGAACGCTAACCTTGCTTGCCAGCTAGGGCGCGCACACCCCGCCACCCCGCCACCCCGCGACGTGGACTCAAACGAGCTTGATGCATGGAAAAGGTAAAGTATGGCTTCATAAATGAACGATGATCTGAAGCAAGGCATCCATGTCCTACACAACAACAGTTGGTTCGCGAGTGCCTACCTTCCGAAGCACATTTAATGTTCGTTTGGGTCGGTTCATATGTCGGCAGAAAATCGTTTCGTCGGCTCGAACATCACGGAGTTGCTTTCGCGAATACTTCCTACCAGAATCTCTGTTTGTTCCTTTTGTGACGTTGCTGCCTCCCCTGTTGAGAATCCGACGATCCGTCACAGGAGGAGAACTTGTGAGTTGTGTGGAGTGCTGCGAACATTAATACGGTGCCTTAACGAGTACAGGCTTGTGGACCCCAAAACAGTTATCCTCGCAGAACCCCAACACAGTTGGACGCCCTCAGCTTTGTCGCAATAGGGAGGGTTCAACAATCGTTCTTGTCTCAATTGCCGGTCAAAAACATTTGCCAAGTACAGTACACGCATAGTCACGAGCAAGGGCTGCCTGCACAGACAGCTGTCAAACCGGGGGGTACGGACCTGTGCATACGACCTAACCAATGATTACTTACGTCTTGGTTACAAACGAACCCGCGATCAGGGGGGAGCTTCCATCCCTGCTTGGTCATTCTGAGGAGAATGGGGTGCGCGTGAACGACAATCACGCCCGCGGAAATCCTCGTGCATGGCTCGAGCAATCAGCTCCAATCTCAACGCACCATGCAACACTACAGAGCCCCCCGGCCCAATGGAGCTCACGGGTCCTTTTTTTTTTTCTTGTCGTTCTGGCGAGTACGGAAAAAACACCCCCCCCAAGTGTGCAACTGACCATCCCCGCTCGTGCGCAACTCTCGAGGGGGGGGCGGTCTCTCGCATTCTTCCGTATGCCCCCACCCCTTTGTGTTCATCGTTTCTGTTCTTTCACACGGAAAAAAAGAAGGCCCCCCTTTTACCTTCCAGCTCACGACAAAGCTCTATCAATCAATCCCCCAAGAGGATACAAAGAAAAACATCAATCGGCAGCAGTACTCTCTCACGAACGTTGCGGGAGATGCATGGCGTGGCCATGGTTTTGATGCAAGCACGGGGCAACGGCGAAACCTACCCGCGAGCTCCTTTACTTCCTCGCATGAGAGACAGAGAGACCTACCTGGAGTCCAATAGTGCCTAGCCTGGCTCGGTGAAACCATGGTTGACGAACAGGACAAGCGGGGCACTGCAACCTCGCTCCCTGATACCACACTACTGCAAGTTGTTTGCAGTATCACCCAATGCCCTAGCGTCTGCCACTCTGTTGACTGACTGCCTAGTGCTGTGTGACAAAACAAAATATCAACCCTTTAGGCTACATAGGTCTGTTCAACTAGCAGTAAGTAGAAGATTCTTGCAGGGAAGGCGACCATCCTTTCTATTGCGGCGGTCGTCCAGGGGGCGGTCGTCGAGGTCGTCCCCGGGGGGCGGTCGTCGAGATCATCGAGAAACCATCGCCCTGGGGGCTATGTAGCATACATACCTACCCTACGGAGAAGGTAGGGGGGGCGACCCTAAAAAACAGTAAACAGGAAGAAACAGTTCTCCCGCTGGTGGGGCTACCGCGCCGTTGTCATAAATCTTCTGGCGATATGGGGAGGGGGGGCGCTAGGACATAGAGGGGGTGTTATATACCACAGAGGGTCGGTACAGCACAACGGTGGGCGCAGAGCGGGACGGCGGCGGAAACTGTCGGGCTAACGTATGTTGGACGGACCGTTACCACGGAGGGTAAGTAGTGGGCGAGAGATTGCTCGGCGGTGGAAAATGTCGGGCTACGTTGTGCGTTCGTGGGTCCTTCGACGCGTGACGTGGAAGGGCTCCGAACGAGCGCTTTCGAAGCGCTTGAAAATCAACAAGTATTGACAATGCATATGCCTCGTTGTCTGGACGGTGGGGCTGTTATTGTTGTGGCTGGTGTCTTCACATTGAGAAACCTTCTAATTTCTGTACTGATGGACGTCTGTCTTCCTTCCGTACAAGTCACAGGGTTATAAGTGGAAAAAGTGGAAATCGGGGGGAGGGTAGTCTCGCCCGCGAGTCAGCGAAAAACAAACAAGTGTGAAAACCTCCTCACCCCCTTTGGTGATACTGCTGTACATTGATGCTATTCGAAGTGATACCCGCGCGCAGTCGTTTAGCTTGCGGCTCAGCTCCCAAGTGTAGAATAACGGGCTCTTTCTAGCTGCCTACACTGTTTCCGACCACTTTCCAATATGCGCATACGTCACAGCAAGTGGTTGGAGAATTTCTGGGCGTTTTTGTCCTGTGGGTGGGTATACAAGCAAGCATGCATCGTTCGTTGTGCCCTCTACTTTCTCTTTTTGGGGCTTTCGTATGTAGTCTATGCAGTTCTTGCCAACGAAAGGAAATCGTTTGCCTTGCTTTGGAGTATTATAGTATTATTGGAGGTATTGTGAGGGACGGGAGCTTTTCCTCCCAATGCACGCAAATTATTTGATCGACGTATGTATGCATAGACTACAACTGAGATACCAACACCCGGACAGCTTCCAGGTCTGCAACCGGGCTGGGCTGAGTCGCGTGTTGTCCGCCGCCAGGCGTCATACGCGTACAACCTCCGAGAATGTGGGGAATGAAAACGTTTATAGAGGGGTCCCGCGAGCACGACGCAATCAATCGAACAACCAAGGCTCCCCATGGTTGCAAGCAAGAAGAGCCGATGTCCCACTCAAGAGAAGAAGAACCGAACGGTGCCCTCTCCCATACAGCAGTATGTATTGCAGAACTCGAAAACTCAAGACACAACCAACGCTGGCATATATGCAAATTATTTCCGAGATTTTGGGGTAAACAAAAAATACTATTTAAAATTAATCTGCTGTGTGTGGTGGCCCTGGTGGCTCTTCACCGCTGTCCCCGCGTAGAAGGGAATAAAGGCCACATCACCACCACCCGTTCTTCTTCCTTCACCTTGTGCGAATATCCAATATCCATCTCGACCGGTAGAATCGCACCAGCGCGTAGGTCCCGAACACCACGAAAATGGCCCCGACGACGAGCCTGAAGATCGCCAAGACTGCATGACATAGCAGCACCGCAAGGACACAGACAGCAGCTGTACATAAAAAGTAGATAGACTACAGCAGTTTGTAGTTGCATCGGAAAAAAATCTGGTGGAGAAAAAAAAAATCGCCGTCGTGCCGTCGTTCTGATTTTTTTGCTCCCTTCTATGTACAGATATTAAGGAATAATAAAAACACACACATGCACTGCTGTGTATTATAGTCGATCAAGCGGGGCTGCTGTTGTTTGTTGAAAAGAGTCGAAAACGGTACCCACAACGTATCTACAAGCACAACGAACACTAGCCTGCTTTAGCACACTAACACGACCATACATACCGTATGCGACAACAGAGGTAGTGGATATGTACCTCTCCCGCTGTCGCCAAGACGCCAGTGTACAAACAAGTCTGCAGTCTGCAGTCAGTGTGTACTGCTGTGTGCGCAACAGTTGTAGGGGAGAAGTTCGGAGCAATCAATTTACGCCACAACCATTCCTGTTTTTGTGCGAACAATATTTTTTGATGTGTTGATGTGCAAGTGAGGGTGGTCGTGCCTGCACCCTGCCAGCGCGAGAGGGTCGAGGTGAGCTGGAGGAATCGAGTGAGCCCACAGTATTTTCGGGAGCATGAAGTGCACGGCGGTGAGCGTGAGGTGCGGTGTGTACAGTGGCACCCGTTGAAGGACGCGCACGAGAGACATATCACGAGAGATGACACGCCGCATTGCAGCAAACTACTACCTGTACATTATTAGACGTCGGAACGGTTTTTTCGGAAATTCGCCGAGCTGCGAGGAACACCACGCCAACACAGACTCCTTGCTTGGCCTCCCAAGCATCTTTGTGCTCCCCGTGCCCTCCCTATTGCTCTGCGCCTAACCTTTGTCCGTGGTTGTGTAGCTCGGGATGAAGCTTGACGGATCGAAGTCCCCATCATCCCCAAACCGTTGCTCCCAATAGCTGGACGATCCCGTGCCTCCCCCGACATCAATCGAGGAAGGTGGACCACCGGCGCCACCGCTGCTAGATCCACCGATATCGATCGAAGAGGGTGGGCCATCGGCCATGATTGGTCCGGTGTCCCTTCTCCTGTGTCCTCCCCCTGAGCCTTCTTAGGCCTGGTGATCGCTGGGGTGCAAGCTGCGGAGGAAGTGCAGCGTGCAGCCGAGACTTGCCTCACCATCGGTATTTTTCAGTTTTGGCCAATCAGAAGTGCGGGATCTTTAGAAGAGTGTGTCGGATATTCTTGTTGTGGCATGACATTTTCTCTTGAACTTGTCTGGATCGCGTGCACAGGAACATCCTCTGACCTAAACACGACAGGAAGGACTTTAGTTGTGAATTGATATCATTGTCTGTGATGCGGCACAAAAGCCTTGCATCTGTAGACTACAGCTGTCGTCCCGGTGTTGACAAATAAAGAAATCGCGGTCCGATCTTCTTCTCTTCGAACAGTCAACTAGTCTATATTGTAGACGAAAATTAGAACCATCGCGCAAAGTAAAGAGGTTGCGCCGCGTTCTGTGGTGGGCCTTCGGGAGGTGTGCAGTGTGCGCTCACCGCCGTGCGCGGTTTCCGAGATAATTTAAATGTCGCGTCTCTTGCTTGCCGCTGGGGTGGGTGTATTCGCCACCGTCATCATGCCAAGTCTACTCCAGTCCACCAGGTGATGATACCGAGCTACCGCCTGAAGGAAGAAATAAGTACAGCAGTCTATGTTCTGTTCGAAAACAGGTCAATCAAAAGGCGGTTTTATCCCGCCACATCCTCACTACTTCGTATGCATTATACCACGACCTTGTACGACGGATGGATTTGTTCTGGAACACACATTGCCATTTCACAGGAAAAAAAAACTACCAGGTATAAAAAAACATCGATGTTTGTACTATATTGTAGTATTCGGGGAAGAAGAGTGAAGCAAAAAATAATGGGGGATTCCTCCAACAACACATACATACATACATCATCCAGTCCGGCACAATACGCTATCCACGTGTACCTTTCTGTATACCCTTGCGGGAATAGGCATATATATGTTAACTGGAACAACGCGTGTGTGTGTAGTGTGTAAAAAAAAATGGTATTTCGGTACTGGACAGAAAGTACAACATACCATCACGTTTGTTTGTTTTTAATGCATCGAAAGGAGGGAAGGGCGCCACCATCAGTTCAGTGCCACCAACCAAACAGCACACTCACAATTCCCACGAAATCATCAACCAACAACCACAACCAACTATTAACGCCCTCACACTTCCCTGCGAGTATATAACCGCGCGTGTGTGGTGCCGTAAGACGCTGCCCGTACCAAGAGTTGGAAGCGAAACAACGACGATACAGAATCTATCTATCAAACTACGTAACACTCGCCCCCCCCCCCCCCCCCCCCCGCTTTATTACTCTCCTCTCCACGGGCCCCCTAATTCCCGAGGGGAGCGAAACCCGCCCAAAAGGGAAAAACGAGAGGGAAAATAAAAATACCGAAAAAAAATTAAAAAGCCCCTTCGTTTCGAAGGGCTAAAAGGTACAACCCAAAGGGACAACGAAAAAACTCAACAAAAGTCCACGAAGACCAACACCCCGTTCGTTCCCATGGCCACAAGAAAGAGGCCAATAAGCACCAATTACATCCAAAACACCATAACCGAAAACAAAAGGACAAGGACTAATCGAAAAAAACAAAAAAAAACAAG